TGTGTATAATTTTTGTATATTTGACTTTTGACTTTAAACTGAAAAATATAATTTAACAAGGTAATAATTGCTTGCGATAAAGAAAGCAGCACATCATGAATTATTAAACTTGTTTCAATATAAAAAGAATATCAAGCATTTGTCAATTATTATAGTTTGATTTTCCAAATACAAATGTGGTCAAATGCAATATCAAAATAATTCTTGTAATATTTAAATTTAATTACGGATTTTGACCTAATAAATAAATAAATGTTAAAAATCCCAATTAAAAATTTAAAACAATAATAAAAAGAAAACAAATAAAATCCTAATATTTTTTAAAGAGAGGAGTCGGACTAGCGTGTTCTATTTAGGAACGTGCTATTTAGTGAACCACTTTTCGGGCTCACTATATTAGACGGGCGAGTGAGGGCTTTTTTTCACTATTGGACTATATAGTCTCATTTAAGTTAGTCCCGTCTGTTACCAAACATGGGTTTCGAGTGCTATTTAGCCTAGTCCAGTCCAGTCCAGTCCAGTGAAGCGTACCAAACATACCCTAAGAGTTAATCCAAGACAGTCTCAGAATTTAGTCAAGTCCATAACAGTTCATCGTAACAAACGATTCAATCATAAAACACAGTAAATCTCTCTTTTTTATTTTATTTTGAGTAGTCAAGATTCAAGAAAGGCGTCTTATTGTTGTTGGCCCATCCAGATAGCAATGAAGTAGAATCGAAACCATCTTCTGTTCCAATCACAACCAAGATTCTGATAACTCAAACATGCACAGATCCGCAAGTGCTTCCAGAGTCTCCGAGGACTTGGTTGTGACCTCCTCATCAACTTCACCGCCATCTTCAACCTTCAAACCAACCACAGACGACTCTTCAGACCAGCATCTACATCTACCCACATACGATCCCCTCTCTCATGTCGCAAAGAGGGAACGGCGTCGTATCAGGTCCGCGGAGAACGCCATTCACATCATACCTCTCCTGCTCGTCCTCTGCGCAATCATCCTCTGGTTCTTTTCCAATCCAGGTACAATACAACAGTACCCACTTGTCCTTTTGTCTCACAGATTGTTATTTTCCATTGAATCTGACAGTGAACAACTCATGTAATTATTTGCCTTCATGGGTTGTGATTGGAATTTTGTTTTGTTTTCTTATTCAGTACAATTTGATGGATTTTATTTGTTTAGTTTGGTGACAATTTGATCGAGTGAAGTCATCTAAGAGAAAATTTAACTATTATAAACGAAATGGATTAGTAGTATTTAGTTTGCTTGCTTTTGGTTTTTGATATTTGGTTAAAGATTACAACCTTAGAATGATCACATGTTTTCGTATTTATTTTCTGCTGTGGTGCCGTAGCTTGTACTGTTAGGCTTCAAAAATTAATCTCTCCTTGTGCTTGTTGAGGGAGTTATAAACTGCAGTTTTGGCTTTATCAGTCAGCTACAGTTGTGTTTCTTCATGTGGTTTTATCTGCACAATGTTTTAGTATCCTGAAAAGCTGAAGAACGGGTCTTCTTGTGAAGACTTTCTAGTGTTAGGCATATCTTTGAAAAATGTTATTTCAAGCCTCGTCTTTGTAGAACATTTTGCTTCCACTGCCTTCTATCTTATACACCGTGGTGGGTATTCCTTTCTCGGTATATCCGAAGTGCAGGCAACAATGTGGGACTTGTAGTTTAGGATAATTCGTGTTTGGAGGTTTTTTTTGTTAATTGGTTGCTTCTATTCCAGTGATTCACCTTTTTAAAGAATGAAGATTATCAAGATTGAGGGCAATACTGAGTGTTGGCGGAGGAGCAGCTCTCCATTAAACAAGAGTTGGAGGAATTTAGTCTGAATTAATAATGTATGCATCACTAGACCCACAAGACTATTGGAGAAGAAAAACTAGCAGGCTCCCTCTTACTCGAGAAGTTCTTGTAAGCAATTTATATGAATGTGAGATAATGAAGACCTAGTTCCGTCTTATTAGACACCTTGATTGCACATATGCATAGAAGCTTTGTTGAAATTTATATCATAATAAAAAACAAGCTATTCACTTGGTATTCATTTGGGAATTGCAGAATTGTATTGGTTCGTAGCATTGTGATTTATTTCTTTTGTTTGTGCCTACTCATTTGGAAACAACTTATAAACAGTATAATGTGGAATATACAATTAGTTTAGGGGATCCTTTCAAGCATTTTCTCACCGTCTTTCTAACCTAATTAGTTTAGGGGATGCTGACATTGCCCCCAACATTACACAACTGGAGCTTGTAGAGGCTCACAGTCAAAATTTGTATGCTCCAACAATGGTCCTAACCTAACAAGCTTGGGGAAGATGACATTGTTCCGAACAGAACACACAACAGGGTTCTCCCACTGCAAGAATGACCCTACAAGATTTGCACGAACGGTTAGCGGAAAGATGCGAGGCCATCTCTCACTTCCATATGAGCTAAGAGCATCTCCAATGGTATCTGGTCGTGACTTGATAGCACCTGCAAGCTTTCTTGCCAGAACTACTGCATCTTCGAGAGCACAACAAGCACCTTGACCAAGATTGGGGGTCATTGGATGCCATGCATCTCCTACCAGCACAACACTTCCTGCTGAAGCTGGAGGGCTGATGTTCGGCCACAGCCACCGGTCTACGAGTGGTGTTCGAATGATCAAGTCATCCGGGGTATTGTCTATGATGTTCACTAGGTCTGAAGGCCAGTCTCTGACTAGTTCTGCAGCTTGCTTCTTTAACACAGACGGATCAGTAATTTTTGGACCTGCAATATGATGCCCTACCATTGTAAAAAATAGCTACAGATCCTTCTTGGTGTTTTATATTTAACTCATCCATAACAAGTCTTAGGCTTAGGAGACTTCAAATTTAGAAATTTACCTGGAGATTGTCTGTTGAAGCAGACAAACCAGTAGACTTTTGTTGGAGAAACAGGAAGAAATCCTGCACGTTGGCCCCTTCCATAGATTTGATTCAGATTTGGTTCAAATGGCTGCCCACCAGGGTAATATGCAAGGCCACGAAAAGCACAATGACCAACATACTTAGGCTCAGGAAAACCCATCCACTTAGCTATAGGAGACCGAATCCCATCACAACCGATTACAATCTGTTGGAATTCGTCAAGACGAGAAAATGAGAACGAATAGTACCATATACATGCACCAACTATTATCTGTAATGTGATAGTTTAATACCAACTGATGTGACACATAACAAGATTGAGCCATCTGCATGGAGAAAGATCGATAGAAAATTCAGAAAGTAGATTAAGGGTAACCTTTGCAGATAGCTGAGTACCATCTACTAGTTCCAACAAAGTTTCTCCATTTTCAATTTTTTGAATCTTCGCCAGCTTTGAAGAGAAACGAACTGCGCCCGCTGGCAGTTGATTGGCAAGAGTCTCCAGCAGTATTCCCCTCTCCACAGGACGCACCTCTTGGCTGTGCCATGAAACTTAGTAACAAAACTTGATACATGATTGAGTAAAAAAGAAATAAAAGAATTGCATGTTCTCGGAAAACATGGAAAGATCATGAGTAAGTTCATTACCTTTCATCTTCATCCTTGAACTTGAAGGAGCGTAGCTCCCTTCCATCTTGTGTCTTTACCACCATCCTGCACAGCTGATTGCATGAACCAGATCAGAGGAAATTGGGTAGCTTTTTCACAATGCAGAGCTTTTAACTTGGTGTCCAAAACTTATAATTTTAGTTGTAAGATTAAGCATAAAGAAAGAAACAATAACATATATACCCTTGAATTTCTAGAAATTGGGTTCTGAGATCATTTCCAACTCCAATTGCATCCAAAACTCGCCACCCATTTTTGAAAAGGGTGAGTGAAGTTCCACCAGTACGAAGTGATTCTGCTTGCTCAAGCACCAAGGACCCAACTCCAAGCCTGTTAATCAAAATTAATAGATATTTAGAGTTATTTTGTTCTAAAAAGCATATGTTATTATGCTTTTTATTTTTATTTTTTAATGCAAGCGATAGTCTAAACTACAAAAGAGAATGAGTTAGTTTTCTCACACACACACTACCAACTACCAAGATGTCATCAGGTTCAAAAGGGGAGGAGTTAGATCCTGTGGACTATGCTTTTAAATGTTCTATAATACATCTTGTTTAGTATATACAATATTGAATATTCTCTTATCAATTTAGATCATAATTCAAGGGGATTTTTCTTATTGCAATGCACGGAAAATCTGCCAACAAACCATCATTTGACCAAGGCAAGTTATGGCAACATGTCAAACGACCTGTTTTACCGTTCATAATGATTAACACCAGGTAAAGAAAAAAGGCAGTAACATGGGTGGTAAATATTTAAAACGTTTGAGAAATAACCATGTTCAAATTAAACAACCTGTGAAGAGAGAGTGCAGTGGCAAGACCAGCAATTCCAGCGCCAACTATGACAATATCCTCCTTGCGAGCAGCAGCACCAGATTGAGCTCGGATGCTTGGAAAAGAAGAAGTGGGTTTGGTTCTGGTTCTGGTTGGAGCTTGAAACCAATTAGATTGGTTGCGAGGAAGTGGCCTAGTTTTAGAATGGTATGGTGAAAGAAGTGGGTTTTGAAAGACTAGGGACATAGACACTGTAGCCATGGTTGGTCAGTTGTGTTTATGCAACAACATTGTAGAGTTTTGTGATTGTATGAGAGAGAGTCTGATAGAGAGAGAGAGAGAGGGGGTGTTGGTCAGCCAATCAGCCATGGAAAATTAGTGGTTATGATGAAATGGGTTATTGGTATTTGGATCAGATTTTACCCGAGAAAAGATACCTTATGGGTTTTGGGCCTTGTGACCGGTTGGAACTGGTCCAGGGCTTTCGGCTTTTCGGCATCTACACATACATCTCCGAAGCACGATGAAATATTTTCGCGCTCCAATAAAGTCATCTTATATTCTTTCGTTAAAGCAGGAACTCCTACTTTTCTATCAATCACAGTTTGACATGCATGTTGAAATTTTTTTTCCTATATTTTTAATAAATTATTTTTGCATGTGTCAAATTATGATTTGCCAAAAGTAAGAATGCTTCCTTCGAAGGAAGGAGGGAAGTAGTGTTCTTTTCGAAGTGACAATTACAAGTTAATTTTTAATTGTTGTTTTGTGCTGACACCATGTTTTTGATTTTGGGCCTGCCTTTTGTTTTCTTGTGGGCTTTGTTTGTAGGGCCATTTTAGCTACTTTTTGTTTGGTATTACCAAATCAGGTGCACATATGATATATGAGCTGCCCCTTTGTCTTTACACTACGATTAGGTAACTGTGTTTTTTTTTATTTTTCTGATAAACTGATTAATTAGGTACCCGTTCAAAACATACTCTCTCTCTCTCTCTCTCTCTCTCTCTCTCTCTCTCTTCCTAGCTTGTTGCTACTTGCAGAGAAAGAGATGAACTCTTTGGTGCCAGTTTTACATCCTTCACAAGTGACCACCATTGACGTTACTCAGCTGCATCATGACTCTCATACAAGGTCTGTTGTGATCAAAACTATTCACGATGCTTGCCAAAAAATGGGCTTTTTTCAGGTAAGAATAATTTCAGATTGCTTTGTATATTGATCGTGGACGTTACGTAATATACCTACAACAGTATATATAAATATGTGCCTTTTGTTGTAGGTTAAGAATCACGGTGTAAGCAAAGAAGTCACTGAAAATGGTCTTGGCTCATTGTCAAAATTCTTCGATTTGCCAATGGATCAGAAGACAATATTCTTGTCCGATGATGTAAACAAGCCAGTAAGATTTGGGACTTTCCCAATAGACAACTTGGATAGGGTTTCAAGGGAGTTCATCAAGATTTATGCCTACCCTATTGACGATTGGATTGGTTCATGGCCTCATAATCCCATGGATTTCAGGTAAATTGAACTTATTTTGTCAGATAAGTTGGTAAATTAATTGAAATTTATTTGGAGTTAGGAGAAATTTAATTTGATGTATTTGTCCAGAGAAAACTTGGGAAAGTATGCAATGAAGGTAAAGAGATTAAGCCTTGACATACTGGGGGCCATAATGGAGAGCTTAGGCCTCAGTCCAACCTACTTGAGGAGCAGTCTTGAGCAAGGCATGCACATGATAGTAGGTAACAGATACCCACAATGCTCCCCATCAAGCAATATACTCGGAATAGCATCACATACAGACCACACGATCATCACAATCCTTCTTGAAAGCATGTCAGGCCTCGAGATCATGGATTTCTCTGACAACAATGCTTGGAAGTCTGTCCCGGAAACGGAGGGCACCCTTAAGGTCCTCGTAGGGAACCATCTTGAGGTCCTCAGCAATGGATTGTACAGAAGTGTTTTCCACAGGGTCACTCCAAGCGCTCAAATGAGTAGGGTTTCTATAGGCAGCTTTCTTAGCCTTCCCATGGAAGAGATGGTGGAGCCTGCCATGGAGCTTGTTGATGAAGAGCACCCCAAAGCATACAGGGCAAGTAGCTTGGATGAGTATATCAAATTTCTCTCCACCAAAGCAGAAAAGTCCTACATAGAGAGCCTGAAGATCTGAATAAACATAGAGAGCATGTAATGTATTAATGTTAGTGAGATGTTTTTGCATGAACCTTTCTTTTCATATTGTTCTGCATCGGCCAATTCGAACTTGGAGAAATTATTGTGCGTGATAATAACAACATCGATCGTCATATATAAATTTTAATTCCGAATATCAATTTGGAAATTTGTTGTTTTTGCTAAGTACGCATAGGAGGTAAGGAGGCTAGGCATTGAGAGCATAGGCCTAAGTCCATCCTACTTGAGAAACAGTCTTGAGCTAATGCACGTATAGTAGGTAACAGCTACCCTCACATACAAATAAAAAAAAAAAAAAAAGTTCAGTTTTGTAACTGTGATCGAAGAAACGTACATATATATACAATATTTTTCATAAACAATATGAAAATAATTGCAATAAGAAAATCAAATGATTAAATGATTTCCGTGTAGACTAAATGATCAATAAACTGTTCGGATCGTGAAGTTTACAAAACCCACCATATGAAATTGCTTCTCTCTGGTGCTTCGAAATTCGAACGATGATGACAAATGTGTTACATATACATCAGACTTCCTTGTAGTTGTAGCACTCCAAATAATATGAAAATTAAACACAAATTAGACATTCAAATGCGCTTTTCTCTCAATGTCATTCATTCTGATCTATAATTGCTGAGACAATTGAAAAGGGGAATATCCTTGTTCCAGGAAAATTAAAGAACAGGAAACCCACCAAATGTACATATGGCACCACTTTACAGCCTGTGACGTAATGCAAAAATAATATATGTTCAAATAATGACAATTCTCCATCTAAGTGGTCCTGAATTCAAATTCCATGATAAGCGTGTGTGTGAGTTTCCCCTTTCACCCTTTCTAACTTTGGCCATACACAAAATCGTCCATTATTCATATTTGATAATACGTATGAAAATGTAGACGATAGGTTGTTACCTATCAATACCAATCAATCACTTCACTCTAGTACAATGACATATAGGTTTGGTATGCAAGGCGTTTAATTAGTAGAGTACATATTTTCCCAAAAACTGTCATGTGAACTGCCTTTCCTCTTATCTTTATAGTACCTCTCTCCCTCTTCTCTTCTCTTTCTCTTCTCAACTAGCTTCTACTTGCAGAGGAAGAGATGAATTCTTTGGTATCAACTTTACATCCTTCACAAGTAACCACCATTGACGTTTCTCACCTGCATCATGACTCTCATACGAAGCCTCTTGTGCTCAAAAGTATTCACGATGCTTGCTATAAAAAAAAAATCAGTTACCAAATGAAAAAAAAAAAAAAAAAAAAAAAAAAAACTGTGTTACTGTCGTTACTCATGTACAACATATTTGTTGTGTATATCCTTGTACTTGTAGATTATCACTCATGGAACAAGCACAGAAGTTCCTGAAAATGCTCTTGGCTCATGGCCTCATAATCCCACAGATTTCACGTAATCCCTACTTCTATCACTTTTTTCTATTTTTTCTTTACTTTGTATATGAATAACCGAACACTGATTCATAGTAACAAAATGTATCCAACTCAAAAGCAATTTAGACATGAGAATGAAAACGAAGACAAAGACAATAGGGGGGCATTTAAGAATTTAAAAGGAATTTAGTAATAATTTTACAAGATTACTATAACTAATTTTCCATACAACAACACTTGAGAAGGGGCAGGCCCTCCCTTGGCGTGCACCGGCTTCACCCCCTTCTAGTGTGTTAAGATCTATGCGCATCGACGACTAATTTAAGGCAATTAAAGACAAGTAAGAGGTCTCAAGGTCCTTTTTAAGGCAATTAAAGACCAAAAAAAATGAAAATAGCTACTGTTTGATTCTTTTTTCAGTATACATATTTGATGAATTAGGTTTTAAATTGTTCCACTATATGTACTTTGTTTTTTTAATGCGATCTCACAATTTTAATATGATGTTGTTGTCTAGAGAAAACTTGGGAAAGTATGCAATTGGGGTAAGGAGATTAAGCCTTGAAATAATGGAGGCCATAGTGGAGAGCTTAGGCCTCCCTCCAACCTACTTGAGGAGCAGTCTTGAGAAAGGCATGCACATGATAGTAGGTAACAAATACCACAATGCTCCCCATCAAGCAACATACTTGGACTAGCATCACAAACAGACCACACCATCATCACCATCCTTCTTGAAAGTATGTCAGGCCTTGAGATCATGGATTCCAATGACAACAATGCTTGGAAGTCTGTCCTGGCAACCGGCGGTACCCTTAAGGTCCTAATAGGGAACCATCTTGAGGTCCTCAGCAATGGATTGTACAAGAGTGTGTTCCACAGGGTGATTTCAAACGCTCAAATGAGTAGGGTCTCCATAGGCAGCTGTCTTAGCTTTCCCATGGAAGAGATGGTGGAGCCTGCCATGGAGCTTGTTGATGAACAGCAACCAAAAAGATACAGGGCAAGTAGCTTAGAAGAGTATATCAAGTTTCTCTCCTCCAAAGCAGATAAGTCCTACATAGAGAGCCTGAAGATCTGAATAACGTATTTTATGTTTCTGAACTATAACATTAGCATTATGTTATGTAGATTCCTTCATAAAGTTTGATGGCTATGTGCTTCCATCATGTTATCTATGTTGTAGAGTTCTTCCTCTAACAAGTTGTTTCAAAATGTATCGTCATCTTCTACTACTTTGTTGTACAAAAAATAGAAACGGCATATGGCTTCTATTAGGGGTGGGCATCAAAACTGGAATACCGAAACTGTCCCGAAACCATGCCAAACCGTGCCAATCTCGTGCCGTCCCATTTGGTGTTGAAGTGTAAACGGTATAATACCGTGTCATCCCGTTACTGTTTGGCATGACACCGTTTCCAGATTTGTAATCCCGTTTGGTGCCATATCGTACCGAATAGTACCAAGTAAATAATAAACCCCAATTTCATATTCCTCCACTCCCACGAACATTTCGACTCCAAATTTGTTTCCTCCGTCTCCCTTCTCTTCTCCTTTCCTTCCCTCTATTCTTCTTTTTTCTTCTCCACCTCCTCCTCATCTCTCCCTCCCGAGTAATTTTTGAGTGTTCCCGGTACACCACGTGGTTGGTGTACCATCCAATAGACGGAAGACATATGGAATATGTCCAATGCAGTCCGCCACATGTCATAAGAAGAAATGCAGTAAGTTGGATAATAATTCCACATGTTCTATGTTTATTGGATGGTACACCAGACACGTGGTGTACCTGGAACATTTAAAAATTTCTCCTCTCTCTCTCTCTCTCTCTCTCTCTCTCTCTCTCTCTCTCTCTCTCTCTCTCTTTGTTCTACTCCTCTCTCTCTCTCTGTGTGTTCTTCTCCAAAGTGTATAAAATCGGTGGAAAAGGAAAGCCCCAAAGTCTGTTCAAGTTTTTGTGTAGAAAAATCAGGGGGTCGAAGATCGTATTGTTGGTACCAAAAGCTTTGTATCAGGCTTGATTTATAAAAATTGCAAGATTTCTGAATTTTTGCAGGATTTTTTCGGTATCAACATTGATATATACTGAATCATACCGGTCCCATTTGGGTCCGGTATGGTTTGAACGTGTTCTCAAAAACTCTCATCCAGTGTCATCCAATCCCAATTCCCCTATCCGAGATGACCTCCATCCCGTGTCATCCTGTACCGTGCCCACCCCTAGCTTCTATTGGTGTTCCTCCAATTGGAATTAATGAAACTCGAATAGTCTTTGTGATCAATAGTAATACTATGAAATGCATGATTTAGGAACCCCAAAAAAAAAAAAAAAAATTGTAAACCATTAGATACCAACTAATGTGGCATTGTTTTATTTGTTTTCTGTCTTGGGCTTGCTAAACTTTATTTATTGATAGGGAATATGAGAGTGTCACATATAATTAAGCAAATATTTTTTAATACAAGCGATAGTAAAAAATTATTCTAAATTAATCTAATTTGTGAAGAGGGTGACTCAAACTCTAATGCAACTGTATGGACAATGTTGTCATTTTGGAAGTTTGTTGTTTGGGCCTCATAGATGTTGGGCCTATTGTTTGTTTTCCGCCGTGTGGGCATTGGTTTGGTCCTTATGTTTTGTCATGTTAGACCCTTTTAGCTGCCATTTCTCTGTAGTTTTGATCAGCCGAATAAAGATGTGGATTGAGGAAATAGGATGAGTATTTAACTCTTCGTTGTGAATGGATTTTAGATTGTGCTGTTTCCATACAAAGCAATAAGCTGTAGATGCTATGAAATGTAGAACGGCAGGTGGGACTTGGAGCTTAGAAACGAAAAATAATTAATCATAACCCCAGAAGATCCATTGACTCTTTGAATTTTATGTACACTAATTTGGCAAACAAGTCATGTTTGTGTCAACTTGCTTTTCTTAACAGGTTGACACGACCCGTTAAGTTAACGGGTGGAAAATACCAAATACGAACACGACCCGTTTCACCCATTAAGAATTTTATAATAAAAAAAAAAACAAAACTAAAAATTAAAAAGAAAACTGAGAAAATAAAAAATTCAACTAAAGAAGAGTTTTTTTTGGGGTGGGGGGGGGGGGGGGAGAGGAAAGGGAAAGATATATAAAATTACAAAATTACTATACTTTTAAAGAGTGATAACGGGTATTCTCGAATTCACATAACACGACACGACATGTTAGCTTAATGAGTGGCTAATGGTTCCACCCATTTTCAACAAGAACTGTTAAGTCCCAACTCGAATACTGATTTTTTTCGTGCGAATTCGTGTCGTGTTAACATGCCGTATATAGTAGTTAATCTAAAAGTCATGTATAAAACTATAATTTAGTTGCCCTTCATCTTTACTATCATATAGGTCTCTCTCTCTCTCTCTCTGTCTGCTGCACCATGACTCTCACACAAGGCCTCTAGTGGTCAACCAAAAGTCAAGTGCCTGAAAGTTGTCTCTCCGCTTAGTTTGGCTGTACACTCCATCTGTTCGACAAAAGGCCTGATAGACTTCTTTTCCTTTTTTTGCGCAGCGTGCTTATGTTTTATTTTTTTTAAAAAAATATGGCCAAAATGACGTTGTTTTGGACCAGGAGAAGAAGAAGAAAAAAAAAATCCGTACAGTAGACGGAAAAGGAGGAAAACTCCTTCAGTAATAAGGAGATTTTGCTTAAAATAGAAAAAGAAAAGT